AGCAAGGCTTTGGGCATGTTTTTTATGAGAGTATAACATTATAACATGATATAAAACTCAAAAAAGTTGATTTTACATGATATTGCCCCTTTAAGCAACTCTGTTTCTCACAGCTCACATTAGAAGGAGGGTTAAATTGAGTTTCTCAGTAGACAGATCAGTGTGATGCGGCTCTGCCTTTCTGCTGCAGCTCTGTGGAATGGTTGATCTTTTTTTTTAAGTCTTGTTTAAAAACTATTTTATGTCCTGACTTTCGACCCAGTGTCAGATGATTTTAACCTTATGGTGTGTTTATTGATCAAGTCATTTTGTTTCTTACCTCTGCTGATTTATGTGTTTTATCCTGAGTTTTCTGCTGGTCTTTTTTAACGAGCAGCTCTTTGGTTGGCCTTGTTGTTGTCTTTAAGTGCTTTATCAATAAAGTGGTGTGGTTTGGTATGGTGTTAGCACAGCTTTAAGTCTGTTCTGTTTGAATAAATGAACAACAGGAAGCTGCTGAGGTTTGAGATGGATTATAATCTGAGAAGTGAAGAAATATCTGCTCTGCTGAGGAGCTGGAGCTGTTAGAAAACACAGTCCAACTTAGAAAGGTAGTCAAACATGAAGACAGTCAAATCAATCTTTATACGGTCATCTCATTTACTGTCACAAACTACAACAAAGATGGAAATGATTGAGACAAAGAAGTAAAAAAGACAAGATAATTCAAACAATATCCAATGATAAGAACCAGAAGTCCACCTGTGAAAAACTCCCAATCATTCTTGTTTCTGGAGTTTAACTCAGTTCCTGTGGTTCAAACCAGCTTAATAAACATGAGGTTTACAGACTGACCTGTGAATGTGGTGGGGAACTGTGCCATGGTTCTTAGTCTTCTTCAGCTGCACCACATCTGAAACAACAAAATAACAGAACAGACATGAAGACCAGTTGTCTTCTTGTAGCAGTTTGTTGCACGACATGGAATAAAATGTTGGGATCAATGGGATTCTGAGGAAACGTAGGAAGATCCAGTCCTGTTTCCACAGCTCAGTCCACACAATCACGGATCAATAAGCTTTGAAACATTTTCCACAAGATGCTCCAATGAAAGCTGGTCTTACATTAGAATCATCTAAAAATGCTACATCTATTAGCAAAGTCTCACAGTTCTTTGTAGTACAGATACAAATGAAACTGGAAAACATGTTTTTGTCTTCTCTCAAGTTGTGTCTCGCTGATTTAGGACTTGTGTTTTTTTGCTCTCACCAACAGGAAAAGGAACGAGCACAACTTCCATATTTTCACAGTAATTAACTAAAATTCCACCAGTTTTGTCAAAACTGTTGCTATATTAATAAATATACGTACATATTTATACATATAAGCTGTCAAAATGTATTATTCTGTTTGGAAAGCTGATGGAAACGTGCAGCGTGCAACATGTGAATACACACGTAAAACGTGGATTTTATTTTGAAGTCAAAAGTTTCAAAAACACAACACAGATGCAGTTTCAACTGTGTTTACTCTGTCGACCACAGAATGAATTAGTTTGTCCTGACTTCCACATTTATCACTGGATTTATCCACAAGTTTCCTGAGAAGCATATGTAGGCTGCCATGACAGTCACTAGCCCCGCCCACAGCCCCGCCCACTGTTCACTTTTCCCTGTGTGCAAGAAATTCATTCATTCAGGTAGTTATAATAACAACAAATTTAGTTTTGTTTTTGCTTTAACTGGCAGCTTGAGCAGTTCAGTCATGAGTTTGTGTTCATCTTGTGTATTTGTCGGCTGCCACAACAACTGAAGAAAACTGAGAAACACTTTATAAACATTTTGGCTGCAACAAGACGTAGTAATAAGGCATAACGTCCGACAAACTGCACTTTATGCCGACGAAGGAGGATCGTAAACGAACTGCTGCAGCTTTAAATCTGAAAAACACAAAGAGAGTTTGCTTGTTTTTTTCATTTTATCGACACAAATCCCACAGATATTCACTGTGATCCAGAGCTAAGGCTGGGCTAAGGCTAGCTACTGAAGGCGTCTCGTCTGAACCACTGTGAGTCACACAGCTTCCAGCAAAATCAACTAAAACACTGAATCTGTAGCTGCTTAGTTAAACTCTAAATGTTGTGTTTCACCTTTCACTATTTAATCGTACAGTTCTTTACTTTTACTGAATGAAAGCCTACGGTGAATGGAGTTAGCATCAGTGCTAACTACTGTTAGCCTGGTTGTTTAGCATGTTATTTGCAGCTAAACTTAAATTTAAAGAAATATTTTGCCTATGGTTAGTAGCCACATGCTGGCAAAACTATGTAAATGTCTTAATTTAACTGTCTCAGTTCTGAGTAAGCTCAGAATAATACACAATCCTCTTCTCAGCTACGTGCTAAATTATTTAGTTTACATCATGACAGGATTACAAGACGAGGAGATTAGCCCCCAGGGGCTATAAAAGTGTCCAGTCTGTTTTAATAACAAATGTGCTTAAAAAGTTATTAGAGGCAGTTTATTTATTTTTGTTTATCATTTATTTAAAATGACTGCAGCTGTATGAAACCCTCCAGTTCATCTCTAAAAGTTAATAGTGAACTAGCACCAGTGAATTTTATGTTTAGAATAAGAAACTGTGTATTCACAATACTTCTGTAAAAGTATTACAAATCTGAGGGGCTTATGAACATTTTACTTCCAGAATGGTTGACATTTGTGTGTGTGTGTGTGTGTGTGTGTGTGTGTGTACAGTACAAACAAAACCGAGATGATTTTCAAGTCAAATGAGGAGGACTCCTTCTGAAGAACTGGTTCTTCCAAATTAAGAAGAAAATGTTCTTATTTAACCAGGAAGTTAGCTGCTGATAGCATTTTTTCAGAAATAATTCCTTCATGTTGTGGTAAACCCATGATGCAGAACCTAAACCAGTTCAACTGGGGGTGATGGTGTTCAGTTGCCACTCCTCTTGCTTGTATTCTCACCCTTCAAGGATATTTTTTGTTTGTTTTTGAGTTAATCTTTAGCTCAAAATGTTACCCTGTGTTTAAATGAGGGGCTTACTCAATGTTTCATATTTTCATTCAGAAACTTACAAATTCCTGTTTTGTTATGTTTTACAAATATGTCCAAGTTTAATAATGTGAGGAAACATTTTTTTTATTTAGTTAGTATTTAACAAAGCTGGCACAATAAATCATTAAAACTTAACAATGTGATTCTCTTTAGTTTCAGCATGAGAATAATGTATCCCCTAGAGCTGTGTATTGGCAAGAATTTGTCAAAACGATACATATCATGACAGAGGGGTCACGATTCGATATATCCCGATATATTGCGATACTGTAAACAAGGCGATATATCGCGATTTTTTTTGTCCAAAGATTCTATTAAATAAAAACCTCTTACTGGGAAAGAAAATGAAAAATCAAAATTCATTGTCTCAGAAAACTCTAATATTACATTGACATACTTTTGATACATTTAGCTGTGTTCTGTTTTGTATGTGTTTTATTTTATTTGTTTCATATTTCTT